TCGCTGGCCTCATGCATCCCACCTTGTATCAATCCTATTGTATATTCTTTGAAAACCAAAGATATCAAAACCAGAGCACTGACACTGTTCAGAAAAACTAAAGTTAATGCATAACATAATAAATAGACTGAAATAGTTTGAAATGTCAAACTGATTTCACATCATGGGGCACTTTGTTCTTAAATGGGCTAGATGAATGAAACTGTCCTTTATTTCAGTGTATAAAGTTTTAAATACAAGAAAACAAGGTGGTATTTTAGCTGTATGACTTGGTTTTCTACATGTGTAGAGTTAAAGAAAAAGTTCTGGTACCTTATTGTCCAGACTGTCCTGTATTTATAAAACAAAGGTTATCTATAGGTGGTGAAAAACAGGAACTTTTCTGTCTTTTAATTATTTATCTATTACTTCTTCTGGTTTACCATGATTGGAAATAGGGGAGGTTTTTTTTAATAGGAAAAGCTGTTAATCATATGAAAATGTTTTAATGTTTTTCCTTCCTTCACATGTTCTAGCCTGGCTGGATTATGCTGTTTTGTGCCCCCATACCTTATATTTGAAACCTTTAGCTTAGAGAATCAGTGTCAAGAAGGCTGACAACAGGGTAATGTGCTGTAAACCTGAGTCTATAATGTTTACATCATTCAAGAAGAGGAGCGACAAAGTCTGTGATGTCTTTACTCTTAAACTACTTAAAGTACTACTTAAGAAATCCATCTATCTCACTATTCTGTTAATTATGTTTTCATATTATTAATTTGGTGGCTTGTGTGAATTTTTTTCATAATACTTACACCATTTTTATGAGGTAATAAGTAGCATTGTGATAAATTATGGAACTTTAAATGTGAATATTGAAGTTTTAAAATTTGGATTAATTTGAAAGTTTTTTTATGAACCAATCATGATTTCACATCTGTTATTTCAATAAGGAGAGCTTGTTAGAAGGAAATTTACACATAAGCTTCATTTAATTTAACTAGACTAATTTTGTGACTAAACTAAACTAACTGTCACATCATAAGTAACACTCCATATGTATACAATGGTTAAAATAAGTATTGAACATGTCACCATTTTCTAAATATATTTCTAAATATATTTATTTATTTATTGACATGACATTCTCAGCAGATGTCGGGAAAACCCATCCAGTCTACACATGCAAATTAATCAAACCACAGATGTCCATAAAATATGTGTAATTAGTTAGAAATGACTAGTACTGAACACATGACACGATACTGAACACATGACGAAAGGGAGGTGTAATAAAAAACCTGACACCAGCTGCAATCTATC